GAAGGGAGAGGTGACAGGGGTGGAGGGGAGGAAAGGGGAGATGAGGGGTGGGAAGGAGAGGTGGGGTGGGGAGGAAAGGGGAAGGGAAGGGAAGGGATGGGAGAGAAGGAGCTTATTCTGCTCAAAATTTGGATGTGCTTGTTTTGTTGCTCCAGCACAGTGACTGGCAGGGCTACTACCTTAAACAACACATCATGTACCAGTCCTGCAGTCTTATTTATGTGATTGACTGCAAGCTGTCATCTGCAATGTATAGGCAAAACTACCACAGACCTACATACATGCTATAGGAACCATAAGTCTGCTATTCTAACCAAAAAACTGAAGCTACAAGTGGCCAGGCACTTTGACTTGGAACATCCCAGCCCTTCTGATTGGCCTCTGTTTGGCACTGAGGTGCCATCAGATCTTTTGTTCAAAAGACAGATTTTTGAATTTATAAACTACAAACTCTTAACACATGGTCTCAACTTAGAGGATAATATCTTCATCCACTAGGAATACTGAGATAACATAGTGTTCTAAACTGCCACCTGCTATACAGCTCAGTTTCATCCTTGGCAACTGAAGAAGGCAGAAGTCTAATCTTTTGCTCTTGATCTATAAATCATACAGGTTTATAGATCTTATAGATAAATGTATAGATAAACTTATAGATATAAACATATAAATCTTTTGTTAATTGCATCAATAAATATATACATCTGCAGTGATTAATTGCATCCTATTTGGATCTAAGACAACTTGGGAGAAGTGCTCTTGGTTTTCTTTTTTCATTTCATTTTTACATTATATTCTGTTACTATATATCTCATCAAAGCTAATGCAAATAGTACCAAAAATGATCTTCCACCTCTTACATTGCAAATCTCTCTTAGAAAAGTGGCTATGTAGACTACTTTTATTGTTTTCTACTTTTGTGTGGATATTTCGTCTCTTTACGCCCATGATTCTTCCCTTTGGATTTTCTTTCTATCTTTCATTAGTTTAATTCCTATTTTGGTTACTCTTATCTATTTGAACACATCACAACCTGCTTTTATTCCTTTTGTGTCTCTAATTTCCTTTTCCAATACTTCAGGACAATATCCCATTCATCCTCTGTGGATCTACTATCTTCTACTCTCATTTTTTTTGATAATCTATCTGCATCTCTTAGATCTAATAATTTCCTTAACCTTTCTTTTATTGTGAGTACCGACTGTAGCTTCCATTTTTTGGCATATATTATTCTCACAGAAGTTACCATATATAGAATCAGCCTTAGACATTTTTTTTTCTGTTTCCTTCTGTAACAAACCTGTCATATTTAATAAGTACATCTCTGGTCTCATTGGAAAATGTATCTGTAACATCTCGCTAATTGTGTCATGTATTTTCTTCCAGAAGTTCTTTGCTTTTTTACACTTCCACCATATGTGGAAATAGGTTCCCTACTTATTTTTACATTTCCAACATCTCATGTTGACATTTTTATACATTTTAGCTAGTTTTGCCAGTGCTGAATGCCACATAAAGAACATTTTATAGTAATTTTCTTTCAAGTTTTGAGCTACCGTAAATTTATTTGTATTGGACCATGATCTTTCCCAGTCTTCTAGCTCAATCAAGTATTGAAAAAATTGACTCCACTTAATCATTGTTTCTTTAACTCTTTCCTGTTCTAACTCTCTCTCCAGTAATATTTCATAGAATCTTTTTATCATTTTCTTTTCCTTATCGAAGATTATCTTGTCTAGTTTACTTTTAGCTCTTTCTATTCCTTCAGTTTTCAAATCTATATTTGTTCTCGCTTCCAGTTGTCTATAGGGGAACCATTCTATTTTTATACCTTTTCTCCAGCTCTTCTCTCATTTTAATTCTTAAGTTCCTATTAATGTCTTTTTTTTTTAACTAGTTGTTTGTATGTTACCCAATTTGTTCCTGTATTTTTAAACTTTCTGAAGAAGGTTTCTTGGGAAGATGTCCAGGTTGGTATGTTTATATAGAACTTGCTTTTACATTTTAGCCAAATATTTAACAGACCCCTTCTAACATAATGATTGGTAAATTCTTTATTTTCCTTTAATTTACCATATAATAATAATAATAATAATAATAATAATAATAATAATAATAATAATAATAATAATAATATAATTTATTTGTATACCACCCTGTGGCAGGCCAATCTAGGCATATCATATAGGCATGCCAGCCATACCTTTTGTTGTGGCCTTCTATGCCAACACCCTCTTGTTTGACAATTTTACCCAATCTGAAAACCAAACTAATCCACAAGAGTAATAATATAACTTTAGATTTGGTATTCCAAGGCCTCCTCTGCTTTTTGAGTCTGTTAATAATTTCCATTTTATCCTTGGTCTTTTACCAGACCAAACAAATTTGGCTAGTTCTTTTCCCCATTCTTCAAAACATTTTTCATTTATTATTATTGGGAGGCTTTGAAACAAGAAGATAAACCTTGGAAGTATATCCATTTTAATAACTGTGATTCTTCCTGAGAAAGTTAACTGTAATTTTTCCCATCTTTCCATTTCTCTCTTCATCTCCTTCCACTTTTGTTTATAGTTGTTTTCAAATAAGTCTCAATTCCTTTTGGTAATCCATATACCTAGATATTTTATTTTATTTTGATACTTTAGACCTGAAATCATATTTAAATCTTCTTCCTCTTTTTTAGTCATATTCTTCACTATCAATGCAGTTTTTTCTTTATTGATTTTAAAACCCGCCACTGCTCCAGATTCTTCTAGTGTGTTCATCAGTTCTTCTATAGTGTTTAATTGTTCTTCTAAAAATATAATCACATCATCTGCATATGCTTTAAGTTTATAAATTTGATTTTTGATTTTTGTTCCCTGTATTTTCCCATTTTTTCTTATTTTATTAGTGAGCACTTTTAACAACATTATGAACAGCAGCAGAGACAGAGGACATCCCTGTCTTGTCCCTTTTTGAATTTCCACAACTTTTGTTTTCCCCCCATGTATTAAGATGTGAGCAGTTTGATCTTTATATATTTGCTCAGTCCAAACTATAAAGCTTTCTCCCATTTGGCTCTTTTAAAGTAATTCCTTCATGAACTCCCAACTCACATTGTCAAGAGCCTTCTCTGCATCTATAAATATCAATGCAGCTTTCTTTCATTGGGGCTTTCATAATATTCCAGTATGTCCAGCAGAGTTCTATGGTTGTCTCTTAGATGCCTTTCTGGCATTGGTTTGCTTTTTAATTAGATAGATAGATTGGATAGATAGATAGATAGATAGATAGATAGATAGATAGATAGAATAAGGTATAAGAAACCAGACACCTAAAATGTATCCAGGATAATCCTGCATAATAGAATGTTAATATCTGCTTCTTTCTTTCTTTCTTTTGAGGGAAGGATTATTATATTTTTGAAGGGATTTTTAATGCATTTTAGCTCCCTACTATCTGAAAAACCATTGTTGGAATCCTGTTGGTTCATCCCAACTAGAATAACCCCATTAAATCATTTGTTGAATGGTACATCCTCACAAAGGTCATTCCCTCCCTGGTTCGGTAGGCCAGCTATAGTTGAGACTAGCATTCTGAATCAGGCTCATACCTCTTTATTTATTTATATAAATAAATCATATTATTATTATTATTATTATTTATATGAGCCTGCTCTCTTTTTAAGATCCTCAGGAAAAGGCTTTCTCTCATTCCCTTCACCTTCATGGTCATATTTGTTGAGATTCTTGGTGGCTGCACTCAAGCTATGGAACTCTCTCCTCCAGGAACTAGGATGGCTTCCTTTCTACTTTCCATCTGAGGGCAAGCCACAGTAGAATCCTAGAGTGGGAAGAGACCACAAGGGCCATCCAGTTGAATGCCCTGCCGTGCAGTAATATATAATCAAGATCTTTTTCTTTAGACAGATTTTTTTGCTATTAAACTGGTTATGGTAGAATAATCTTTTAAATGGAGATATGGAGAGAGATATGTAGCTATTGGAGAGCCAGTGTGGTGTAGTGGTTTGAGTGTTGGACTAGAAATCTGAAGACCAGCATTCGAATCCTGGCTCAGGCATGAAAACCCAGTGGGTGATCTTGGGTGTGTCATACTCTGTCAGCCTCAGAAGATGGCAATGGCAAACCCCCTCTGAAGAAACTTGCCAAGAAAACCCTGTGATAGCTTCACCTTAAAGGTAAAGGTAAAGGTAAAGGTAAAGGTAAAGGTAAAGGTAAAGGTATTCCCTGTTGACAAGGTTGTCAAGTCGTGTCTGACCGTAGGGGGCCATGCTTGTCTCTGTTACTAAGCCAAAGAGCCAGAATTGTCAGAGACTACTCTGTGATCACGTGGCCAGCATGATTGCACAGAATGCTGTTTACCTTCCCACCAAAGTGGTACCTATTTATCTACTCGCATTTACATGCTTTTGAACTGCTAGGTTGGCAGAAGCTAGGACAAATGACAGAAGCTCACCCCATCATGCCTTAGGGTCACCATAAGTCAAAAACAACTTGAAGGCACACAACACACATACATTCAGCTGGTGATCAGAGAGTGGGAGCATAACCTTTTTTCACTCACTCTTTCCTATAGCAAGGATGTAAGAAGAAATTGTGATGGGGTCTTGCTTCTGATTGTCACAGCTTTGTTTGCTGGTGGGAAGAAGTGGAAATTTCATCCTCCTGGCCTACATCTCTCAGTGCCCCTGCCTTCTAGTAAATTAGGTCTGAGAGGATATTTATACAATTGCCACAGATCCGTTAGGTTACAAATCTGTAATTGCAGTACAGAATGCCTGCCACTGTTTAGATATTGGACAAAAAAAAGTACCCATGAACTACAGCAACAAATATCACAAATGCCAATACATATGCCCCATCCAGAGGCACCCTAGTGTTTTTGGACCCATTAGCTTAATTTTTTTTCCTGCAAAGTGAGAGAAATGTACAAATAGTTTTCATAGCTGAATCCACCTCCTACCTATCCTCCCTTCAAATTAAATATGCAGTTTAAAATTTGTGAAGGCAGCTGTGAATCATTAATGCACAGTTGCAACTTATCACACAAGCTTGCAAATGTGGTGATAATGGTTATAGTTGTTATTATCATAACATCTCTAGAAATTTCTAGCTGCTCTCATGAGACTGGAAATGAAGAGAAATGTTATCTTTATTATCATTGTCAGATGATATTGTCAAAAATATCATTTTATTATCATTCTTATTTTTATTATTGTTTTATTATCATCATCATTGTATTCCCTTTCAATGCATCTTTAACCTGCTCCTGAACCAAAAAGAGGCTCCTAGAGTAGTTTACCAAAACCAGTTCCTTGATACTAGGTTTCTGATCTTAAAGACACAACACAAGAAGAAAAAGAATGGAAAGGAAGAGGAAAAATAGTCAGACACTGGTTCTTAGCTTCAGGGGACAGCATACAATAATTCAGTAGGTTATATATTTGAAGCTGTTGGTAGTTAAAACACACTGGACTGCAGCTGTTGCTAACGCCATTTCTTGGTGCCCTTATTATTTTTAATTTCCTCTCTCTGAGACAGATTTGGGCAACTATAGCAGGTCCAGAGGCCAACATTATGCCCTGGGACTCTCCACTGGCTACCACACTGCCAAAAATGTCAACAGACATTCCCTTAAAATGGAAGTGATTGGAAGTCTTCTACTGGTTTGGGGGGAGAATGCATTTTTAAAATGTTAAATAGGTATACCTGAAACCTCACCTAAAATGAATTGTTGCAGGAGCTCAACAAAACTTGTTACTTTTTTCTTACTAGAACTCTCAGTGTTCCTTATCCAACATGTAATTCTGAGTCCAAAAAACTCCAAAAACAGTCTTGGCTGGTATTCTAATTCAGCTTAGTTAAATTGTTGTTGTTGTTGTTGTTGTTATTGTGTGCCTTAAATATACTTAGCTAGCCTGGCCTAACTTCTTCCTCAACTAGATGGAAAAACCATTCACCCATGCCCCTATTGCCAGCAGAATAGACTTCTCCCTGTGGGTGGGGGGAGTTACAGTCATGGCAATTGTGTCACAATTGTGACTAATTTTCCTTTGCAGATGGCACTTTGCGCTGTCTTGGAGCAAAGGAAGGGGAGGGGCAGCCACATGCCGGTCGCCCCAACCCCTTCCTGAGGACATCATTGGAGCGCCTACCATTGCACTTGGCGGGCGCTCTGATGACATCCTTCCGACTCAGTGTCCAGACATGCTGACCCAGAAGAGACGCTGAAGAGGCACATGCCACCTCTTGTGGTGCCCTTTCCACGCCTTGTGGAAGGAGTGTTATTTTAGTGCTCCTTCCAGGGACGGAAAAAGAGTGGATTGGGGCTGAGGCGTAGGGCAGCCTTGGCCCCAATCCACTGCTTCTCAGGGCGGCCCACGGCCGCCCATCTGCAGTGGCCCTAACTGGTGATTGGGAATGTGGCACAGTTAAGGATGAGTAAGAATATGGCCAATGGCAAGCTCCTCTGAAGAAACTTGTCAAGAAAATCCCATGATAAGTTCACCTTAGGGTCACCATAAGTTGGAAATGACTCGAAGGCACACAACAAAGACATCAACAAAATCTAGGTAACCTTTCCATATTCACAATAGCTACTTAGTTCTGAATGTGACTTTATTGTTTTAGGTGCAACTCCCCTCCCCAAACTACTTTTTCAGGCATCATCTGCATGCGAAGAAGTAGGTCCATTTTGCTAGTGATCAGAGCACAGGTGAATGATGTTTCCATCAGGTTTGGGGATGTTGGGCCAGGAGCAGTTTATTAGTTAAGTATACTTAACTAAGGAGCTGATTTAGAATATTGGCCACCATTTCTATGTCCAGAGGAGGACAACCAAAATGGTAAAAGGTCTGGAAACCATGCCATATAAGGAGCACCTTAGGGAGCTGGGCATGTTTAGCCTGGAAAAGAGAAGGTTAAGGGGTGACGCGATAGCCATGTTTAGATATTTGAAAGGATGGCATATTGAAGATGGAGCAGGCTTCTTTTCTGCTGCTCCAGAGCAATGATTTCAAACTGAAGGAAAAGAGATCCCACCTCAGCATTCTGAAGAACTTTGGGATGGTAAGAGCTGTTGAGCAGTAGAAGACATTGCTTCAGAGAGTGGTGATGCCTCTTTCTTTGGAGGTTTCCAAACAGAGGCTGGATGGCCACCTGTCTGGAGTCCTTTGATTGTGTCTTCTTGCATGGCAGAATGGGATTGAACTGGATGGCCCTTGGGGTTTCTTCCAATTCTGTGATTCTATGCCCTCACACACTGTATCACTCCCATTGATGGAGCACCAAAGAGCGCTATGGGGGAAGCTCCTCTTGTTCCACCACTACTACCAAATGTCAGGAGCCCTACTTGTTCCTCTGCTATGGCATCCAATGTAGAGACCTCTACTTGTCTCACCACCATGGCACCAAGCTTATCACTTTGAATCACTGCTGTCACCACAGACTCTATTGCAGCACTGTCCTAGTGTGCCCAGCAGTGCATGTGTATATTACAAGAATAATTTATCAAACACTGATGAATACTGACAAGCAGTTGAAAAAAATGATGGAAATTGTGGCGATAGAGAAACTGGCACATCTGATAAGAGACAAATCTATGAATGGTTTTTGGAAAGAATAGAAATTTTTCATAGAATACATATGTCACAGGGAGGGGGACATTATTATTTTTTCTGCACAAAAAAAAGGCTGATTCCTACACAGAAAATTGTGTTTTCTGTGCAAAACAACCACATCCAAATTTTTGAGCAGAATAAGTCCCAAATGACAAACAGGCTTCAAAAACTCTTTGGTTTCTGAAGACTCTTCTCATAGTAAGATTAAATTGCTAAAATTACTCTTCATTTTTCCCCTGTTGAGAAGAAATACAGGAAAAATTTACATCTCTACCTCCAGCAAAGTTTAATCCTTACTCTAAGACTCCAGACATGTTTCTGGGCTGATTGATGGAAAAGACAAGAATTTTCACTTCTGGTGATATAGCTGCACCAGTATTTGTGTTGTTGTGTGCCCTCAAGTCATTTCCATCTATGGGTACTCTATCATGGGGCTTTCTTGGCAAGCTTTGTTTGGGGGAGGGGGTTGCCTTGGCCTCCCTCTGAGGCTGAGAGTGTGTGGCTTGCCTAAGATCATCATGGCTGAGCAGGGATTTGAACCCTGATCTTCAGAGTTGTTGTCCAACACTCAAACCACTACATCACACTGGTTCTCTCCTACGAGTATAGAAGGCAGGAAAGAGATCATTTCTAAATTCTCTTACTCCCAGGGACTGGGGATCTGGAAACTACTTTGATGCAGTGAGGATGAGCAAATGAGTACAAGCATAAGGTGGTTTGAGGAAATAACATGAATAATCTCCAGTGTTCAGCAAAACGTCCAGTCTATTGTACCTGCTCATTCACTGGGGATTGAATACAATAGTTCTTAAAAGTGGAAGGGAAGAAGGGGAGAAACCAAGCAGCAGGGGGTTGTTGATGGTGTGCAGGGGGAGGGGGGGCTTCATTTAAATGCAGATGGTGGCTTTTCACTTGGGACCAAGTGGAAAGTTTTTCTATTAAAATGCTAATGAAAGAAGAAACTGCAACTCTTAAGATTTCTCCCTGAAAGGGAGACAATCCCTCTTCAGGCTTTGGTATCAGATAGGCCCTCTTAAATATGATGGTTTTTCTCTTGATTTCTTCCAGGGCAGTGAAGAAAGGTGGTGGTGGGGAGACTGAGTATTTATTTTTATTTATAATAGATTTTCTGTCTAGCTCTTCTCTGTTCTCTTCACGTGTCTATAAGGCACAGTATAGTTTTAGTTAAAGAAAATGAGAATTCTTTGAATTTACAACTGGGTATGCAGTCAGGACTTAATTGAGACTAGGCTAAATGCTTCATTTCATATAGACATTGCATAGCGATGGCAATATCTATAATATTTTTAATTTCAGAGAATGACGTTTACAGCTGCAAGAAACAGCCACCAATAAGGCAACAGGCTTCTCAAACCTCATGGTCACTTTCAACATATAAATAAAAGCATAGGCAACTTGTAGCAGAAATTGGAACCTATTG